CCTGAGCCAGACCCATGTTGACCAAAGCCAGAAGACTGACCTGAGCCAGACCCTTGTTGACCAAAAGCAGAAGACTCTCTTTGACCATACCCATGTTGCCTATGCCTGGAAGACTGGCTTGATCCAGACATGTGTTGGCCATAGCGAGAAGACTGATTTGATCCAGCCCCATGCTGACCATAGCTGGAAGACTGACCTGAGCTGGATCCATGCTGACCACAGCACGATGATGAAGAACCATGTTGTCCATAACCAGAGGATTGCCCTATGCCAGACCTATGTTGACCAAAGCCAGAAGACTGACCTGAGCCAGATTCATGTTGCCCAAAGGCAGAGGACTGATTTGATCCAGACCCCTGTTGGCTATGCCTTGAAGACTGACTGGATGTAGACCCATGTTGGCTATGGCTAGGAGACTGACCTGAGCCAGTCCTATATCCACCATAGCTGGAAGACTGACCTGAGCTTGATCTATGCTGACTAAAGCCAGAAGACTGTCCTGAGGAAGATCCATATTGGCTGTTGTTAGAAGACTGATTTGAACCAGATCCATGCTGGCCATAGCTGGAAGACTGACCTGAGCTGAACCCCTGTTGGCTACAGCTTGATGACTTTCCTGGTGATGAACTGTATTGCCCACAGGACTGGCCTGTGCCAGATCCATGCTGACTAACGCTAGAGGACTCTCTTGACCTGTAGCCATGTTGCCCAAACCTGGATGACCTTCCTGAACCAGATCCATATTGACCAAAGCCAGAAGACTGACTTGAGCCAGATCTATATCTACCACTGCCAGAAGACTGCTGTGAACTAGACCTATATCGCCTGTGCCTAGAAGATTGGCTTGATCCAGATCTGTGTTGGCCATATTCTCCACTGCTAGGAGATGAACTTGAACCAGACCTATATCGCCTGTGGCTAGAAGATTGGCTTGATCCAGATCTGTGTTGGCCATATTCTCCACTGCTAGGAGATGAATTTGAACCAGACCTATATCGCTTCTGGCTAGAGGACTGGTTTGATCCAGACACATGCTGTCCACAGCTAGAAGACTGACCTGAGTTGTATCCATGTTGGCCACAGTTTGATGTCTGTCCTGATGAAGAACCATGTTGTCCATAACCAGAGGATTGACCTAAGCCAGATCCATGCTTACTGAAACCAGAAGACTGACCTGAGCCAGACTCCTGTTGAGCAAAACCAGATGATTCTCTTAAACCTGCCTGGTGTGGCCTGTGGCTAGAATATTGGCCTGATCCAGATCCATATTGACTGTGTCTTGAAGATTGCTCTGAGCCTGGACTCTGTTGGCCATAGCTGGATGACTGACCTGCACCAGACCCATGTTGACTGTGGCTAAAAGATTGGCCTGAGCTAGATCCATGTTGTCCTAAACTTGAGGATTGACCCGTTGAGCTAGACAAGTCTCCTTGATGCCTCAGTTTTTGGGAGGTGGACTTAGACCTATGTTTAATGCTTCCTCTGGAGCCATTCTCTCCTGCGCTTGAACTTGAATAAGTGGAAGAGGATTTTTGCACCTTTCCTTCCTCTTCTGTTTCACTCTGTTCCTCTTGATGCTGGTGACTGTGCTCTTTCTGCTTTGACCCTGAAGCTTGGCAGTAGTCTTTGCCAACAATTTTATTACAAGCCTGAGACAGCTTGAATATCATCAGAAGATACTCAGTAAAATCCACTTGTTTATTATGGTCTCGATCCAGATTTTGCATGATGGTATCTACAGTATCTGGATCATCTGGATTCTGTGTAGGAATAAGATACAAAGGCAGCTCTGTCAGTATGGATTATACACCCAGATAACCAATTGGAAGAAGGCTGTACAAATGCAATGCTTGGCATATTTAGGTGGATATCAATTACATAGTACTTTACCCTGGATTGCCCTATCTTCAGCAGAGAGAAAGGAGTATGCAATGAATAATGCAGTGAAAAATAGCTAGAAGAGGGTACAAGTGGAAGGTGAAGGGGATTAGGGGACCAATTATTTTTGGTAAAGCATAGTCAAATATGAATAATTAGCTAATTTATAAATAACAATTGTAGATATCTGAATTGACTATATAATTAGCTATATAAATAATCTTTTCTTTATTTGTCCAACTAAACCCATTATTTAACTAATTCATTCATTTATTTTTATTTATTTATTTATTTTTGTCTTTTTGAGACAGGGTCTTGTTCTGTAGTTCAGGCTGGCCTTGAGCTCACTTTGCAGCCCAGGCTGGCCTTGAATTCCCAAGGATCCTCCTGCCTCATCCTCCCAAGTGCTGGGATTACAGGCAAGTGCCACCCCACCCGACTCATTCAACATTTATTGTTACCTGTTATCTGTCTAGCATTGTATTTTATGAGAGAATAAGCCAGGAAACACGACTGTTCTTACAAAATGCAAGTTGAAGTTTAATGCAGATACACAAACTTACAATTTATTGTGGACAGGTTTCTCTGAGGGCATTGGGAGAGAACTATTCAGGATCTGAGAAAGGTTAATGAGAGGATGTAATGGCTTTTGAATGATGGGTTAGACCGAGACAAATGAAGAGGTAGAAAGGAAAGGAGAGGGGGCAAAAAATTGTTCCAGGCAGAGGGAATGATATGAACAAAGGACTAGATGTGAGAGAAGGCATGGCTCGTTCAGAGAACTGAAAGAATTGCCAGGTTTAGAGTATGAAGAGTCAAGAGAAGTGGATAGGTAAATAGGGACTAGATAATACCTTTTAAGTCATGTTAAAGAATTTTGGGTTTTGTATGCAAGTTGTTTGGTATGCAAGATGCAAGTTGTTGCAAGGTTTTGAGCATCTAATGCTGTTTGGAAGTAGGAGGTGCACTAATAGGGGTAGAGAGACATGGGCTGTTGCTGAGCTAGATGGAGACAGGAAAGTGGTGGTGCCTGCGGAGAGCGAGGATGTCAAGCATGACACCAGATTTCTGCCTTGAGTGGAAGGAGAAAGAAAAATTTAGAGGGGAGGATGATGAGAATCATATCTGACCAACTTCATTTAAGACATCCTTGGGAATCCAAATAACAGTCAATGGGCAGTCAAATTTAAGGAATTGAAGCTTAAGAGGTAGGTTGAAACAGTGAAATACTTATTTTTAGAACTGACACTTAAGGTGGTTGTTGCTCTTGTGATATAGGTGTAAATGCCAATTTCTAGAACGCAGATGCCTACCAGTACCAGATTCTCAGAAATGGGCAGTGGTCTGGACATTTTGGACTGAAGAAAGACAAAGGTAGGGAAGAAGATGCATTTCACATACTTTGTAACTTTTTGAGGACCACCACAATTGCTCCCATAGCTATGACATTTTAAAAATCTATAGATTTCGTCTGATGTTTGGTGGGATAATTTACTTGGTCATATATTACTTGGCCATCCATTATGGTGTTTTTTTTTTTTTTTTTGTGGTACTGGGATTAAACTCATGACCTTGCTCTTGCCAGGCAGGCACTATGCTGCTGAGCTACATTCCCAGCCTCCTGGCCAGCCATTATGGATCAATTTTTTTTTTTGGTGCCAGGAATCGAACTCAGGACCTTGTGCTTGCCAGGCAGGTGCTGTGCCAACTGAGCTACATCCCCAGCCCTTATAGAATTCCCCAATTCTGAATTGCCAAGTAGGGAGAGTCCTCTGAGATGATTGGCATATATGATAAAAAGTTAGGAAGGGGCAAAGGAGAGAATTGCAGAATTCAGTCATATCATGGAGTTATTACCTTTAGAATTTGGCGAAATTCATTTTCCAAAAGTTCTTTCAGCTCTGTCTTGTTCAGCATGTCACACTCCCCATGCTCGGTAGCATATTGGTAGAAAACATCGAGGATAGTGACAATGCCTTGTAGGAGTTTAGGCATTTTTTTTTGCAAATTTAAGTTAACCTAAAAGGGGATGGAGAGAGATACACCTCTTATTTCTTATTATTCTTTTTGCTCGCCTTTCCTTCCTTCCTTCCTTTTTTTTCCTTCCTTCCTTCCTTCCTTCCTTCCTTCCTTCCTTCCTTCCTTTTGAGACAGGGTCTTGCTATATAGTTTAGGCTGGCCTTGAACTCACTGTATAGTCCAAGCTGGCCTCAAAGTCATGGCAACCCTCCTGCCTCAGTCTCCTGTGTGCTGGGATTACAGGCATGAGCCACAATGCCTAGCTATTCATTTTGCTTTCAACACATAGATCTAATCATTTGTAAGAACTGTCAGCCATGATTAATTTTATTCTGTTTTAATCAACAGCTAATCCAGAATTGATTGACTTGTTGAATCCATATAGCAAGAGAATGATGAAATTATGAACAGGATCCATGCTTTGTATTTCTATTACTAAATAAATGTGGGAGTGACATTTTTCTGTTTTGGGCTTCCCACGTCTACCAGAGGCATTAACTTTATTTACGAACTATAGAAATCCTGAGTCTGCCAGTTGATCTACTTTCTCTGTTTCTTTCTAGATCCCAGCCATCACATTTCAGGGGACAGGTCCCTGATCGGCATAGCATGCCAAACTCCAACAAAAGTTCAACAATGGCTAAATTGGATTCTCAAGACTTGTAGACTAGTGAAGATAGACAGAGTAGGCAAAGCCAGCCACAGTCCTAAGTGATATGAAACTAGGGGGTAGCTGCTATCAGATTTCATTTCTGTTTTCATTCTCCACACAGGGACTGACCGTCAGGCTTTACTGGTTACACAGCAGAGAGAAAAGGCTCAGCAGTTAAACAGGGACCTTTCCTAGAGGATAACTAGATTCCCATGATCTTAAGCAGAGACCCAAAAGAAAGAATATCCTACATATACTTTGGTTATTGCTTCTTTTTCTTTTTTAACAAAGTTAAATATATACCAAAGTTCTCTAAAGCATATATAAATATATGCACACACATACACATTTATATCTCTATATTATATATACCTATATCTATCTATCTATATATCAGCTTTTGTTTGCTTTAGAGAACATCCTGGATTTTCATAATTTTATAACCTTAAGAACCCATGAGCAGTACTGAGCCATTCTTGCTTACCTAGTTCACCAGAGGAACAGTAGGATGGAGACTGAAGCAGCTTGCAGGGTGCTGCTATCGGGGACAATGGCCTTTTTATAGATGGGATAATGGTGCATATGAGGGAGGAGCTGCTCTCTTGGAGATGTCCTAATACACTCCTAAACAAGTTCAGCTCCTTCTCCATCTCCACCTTCTAGGTGTTTACCTTCTTATTTCCTTACATGCTTGCCTGAGACTGCAATAGCAGTTCTCAAATTTGAGCTAGTATCAGCTCCACCTGCCAGTCACAGGACCCTGAAAGAAGGCCTCTTCATGTATTCACTCAACTGTATGGCTCAGTGAATCAACAACAATTGTGTGGACTTAATAGAGGTTGAAGAGAGAATGAGCAGGGATATTGAGGCCCAAATGTCAAAGAATCATGGAATTAGTTTTCATGGAATTTTAATTTTCAAAAGGAACTTTAAAATCACCTAGTCAGACTCTCCTGGTCTGAGCTAAAATTTATATGAAATTCTATCCAAGATGTCATCCATGATTTTATTTTACCTCTTAGAATGAATAATGGATGTGGAGGCTGTCCTTTGTATCTGTTTAACTAACTCAGTTTGCCTAAACTTCGTGCCCACTGTCAGTGTAACTTTCATTTCACCACCACACAACTTCAGTAAGAAAAGCATGTCCTCATGTCTTGGCTGTGGGTGTTCCCTAGCTCCATTTTTTCTTTCTATATTCCCATTTATGTTCCACTTGTAATTAATTATTTCAACCTTCCCGAATATACAGTGTTATTTCATGTGTCTTTGTCTTGGTATATCTTTCCTCATTATCTCCTGGTGACTCCTATTAATTGTTCAGAATCTCTATTAGCCTTCCTGTGTGAAATCTTTCTTGAATTACTCAAGACAGAGTTATAATTAATTACTTAATTCATAATTGTATAGTTACATAACTCACCACATTTTATTTTTCATGATTGTTTTACTATGTAATTAACGTTTAGTATAAAAATTAGAAAATACTGAAGTGAAGAAAAGAAAATAAAAACTGAACCTACTAGCCATCAATAACTACTATTAATTATTTGGTTCAATATTGATAATTTGGTTAATTGTTCTTATACACATTTGTCTATGTGCTTGTATAATTTCTAGTCTGTGAGGTCCTTGGGCTAGGGAGTGGGCATTATTGCCATGTCACTTAGAGACCCAGTATATTCCAGGCATATGAAGGTCTCCAGTAAATGTTTGTCATTTTGAGTTGAATTCAGAGAGGAAAGGGCTCATAACTACAGTCTTGTACACTGACCAACTTTCTACAGTAGGATTAGGACCTGCCTTCTCTCATGTCGTCTTCCCCTCAGAAGGAAGATTTTACCTCAGTATAGTCTGAATCTTAGCACTGGCAGTCAGTTAGTGGCTCTCTGCTTATCCCTAAGGACATTTCTCCATGTTCTATCCATTGTGAATGTATGACACAAATTTTACTGAAACTAAAGTGACGTAGACTTATGACTTGGGCAATATCGTCATTGGGATTTGAGAAGGAGCACTAGCAACTATTGTCAAATGATAATTACATGATTCCAAATTCAGCCATGATTAGGCTGTGTGTTTTTTTCTATGAACTACCCAGAGGGCTATAGAATCAGTATCCATTCTGTAGTTGTGTTTCCTTTAGATGCCTGATTTGGGCCAGGTTGCCATGTTTTATCAGAGCAATGATCTTTTTAAAGGTGTGACTGAGACTGTGGGAGTGAGAGGCAGGTGGAATTTGTTGAGTGAAGTCTAATTTCCTGCAGGAGCCAGTTGTCTCAGACGGAGGAAAGGGTTGCCTGTGGATTATCCCAGGTGAACATGCCCTGACACCAGTGTTCTCCTAAACTTTTCAGCAGACTTTTTCTGTAAGAGCTTAGGTAATAAATATGACAAGACTTGTGGGCCAGTTGGTCTTTGTTGTAGCTACTTAACTCTGGTATTATAGCATGGAAGCAACTGTAAATGATATGTAAACAAATGATCATGGTCTGTGTTTCAGCAAAACTTAACACTTATCTTTGGATTTCATATCACATTTTTCAACCAGTTGCACATATAGAAAACATTCTGGTGGTTGTAGAAAAATTGATATGTTGCATATGGCTTGTGAATCATAGTTTGATACTTCTACCTCCTTTGCTTGTCAGGAAAAATTCTTTGTGGAAGGAGAACCTCACATGGAAGGGAAGGGCTAGGAAATATGGGACATCAGAGGCATTCAGTCTGGTGAGAGAGAAAAATGCACATGTCTGTGAATTTCATTATGTGTGGGGTGGAAGAGAAAGAGAACAGAGTAAGGGACCTTTAAGTGGTCTTCAAAGGGAGGTAAATTTTGGATTGATGTAGAGAAGAAAATTTCAGCATCTACATTGACTGGAAGTGCAAAGAACTCTATAGTAATCTAATTTATTGTCAAGGATATAATAGGGAGTTTCATGTATCATGTAAACAATATTTTGGCATTTTTTTTTTTTTTTTTTACAAACATTTAATCCTTTCAGTGCTTCATTCTGTCAGCATCCTCACCAACTAGAATTTTGTCGAGCTCACCAACCAGAATTTTACTGAGCTTTATTTCCTGGTTTGTGTCAAAAAAACAAGAGGCATTTTGAATATGAGTTTTAACTTCTCTCTCTACTGAGTATTACTAAGGTAAAAGTTGGACTAGATTATCACAGAAGTTCTTTATAAAACTGAGATTCATGATTTTACTGGTGTGTGTGTTCCATAGTAGTAACAGGGCTAAGCATAAAGATTCCCTTATTATGTTCGGTTAGTGATTTTCCCTTTGGAGACAATAAATTTCAGGATTCAAAATTTCTTATAGCATGCACCATGATCTGGATTTTTGAGTGTGTTGCTAGAAGAATAAACATTGTGTTCTCCTTAAAATGTTGTGTGCTGATGTACATCATATCATTAATCCTGCTGATAACTTCATAATGTGGGTATTATTCCTCTATTTTGCAGATGAGAAAATTGAGGCTCAAGGAAAATGTCTAACTTGTTTCAAGTTACTTAGCTATTAAGCACAGAAGACAAGATGAAACCTCAAATCTGCTTCTTTCTAGGAATAGCTAGAGAGTAGGGAACTATTCATGTGTTGGAAAAGGCAGGTTGTGGAGCTGTGTCTTGAGCAATGGAATGTCTCATCTAAAACATTACCTCCAAAACTGGCAAGAATGAATTAAAGTGTCCATGCTATTCTTGTACAATTCTGTCCTGTCTGTCTGAATGGCAGTAATGTGTCTACAGCACCATCTGCTGGATGTAGCAAAATGCTACAGAATGTTCCTTCCCCCTTGCTCTTTCTTTATTTCCGCTCATCTTGTCTATGTTATTTGTCATAGTTCTTTATAGCTTAGGCATTATGAATGAAAAAACTGTGTTAAAAAATCAGGGAGAGGACTGGGGATTTAGCTCAGTGGCACAGCACCTTCCCGGCAAGTGCAAGGTTGTGAGTTCGATCCCCAGTACCGGAATCAGGGAGATACACATACAGTACCGGAATCAGGGAGATACACATACACATATAGAGAATATTAAGGGTAGTGTATACTTAAGATCCTCAGTGAGCTTATGTATATGCCATAAATTTAAATTTTAATAGTAATATATAGAAATCGTGTTGTTTGGGGATTAGTTAAAGTGTCAAATATGAAAGCTCAAGTTTTGAAGTTTCTGGCAAATTTTGTATTATTCATGACTACTATGGAAATGTATTAGATTTTATAGTATCATCAGATCAGGGGCTGGGGATTTAGCTCAGCGGCAAAAAAGCGCCTGCCTGGCAAGCGCAAGGTCGTGAGTTCAGTTCCCGGTACCGGAGAAAAACCAAAAAACAAACAAACAAACAAACAAACAAAAATATATATATATATCATCAGATCACTGTTACTGATTGTACTACTCTGGATTATAGACAGAGCTTCTTTTATAATTTTAATTTTTATTTGTGCATTTTTGCAGTACATAGTGATTACATTCATCAGGGGGAGGAAATGTACATAACACATCTTAATTATTTTTATGTTCCGTTTCCCTCCTTACCCTTCTAGCCCCTACATCTCTTGGTCCTCTTCTCCTTGGTAAAAGATCTATCTCCCTATTTTCTATTATCTATCCTTCTAAAAATTTATGTATACTTTGGATTTCTCATATAAGAGAAACCATGCAATATTTCAGTTTGTGTGGGTGTGATTTATTTCACTTAGCATTATGGTCTGAAGGTACATCCATTTTCCCACAAATCACTCCAATTTATCCTTCTTTATAACAGAATAGTACTCCAGTGTGTATAAATACCTTGTTTTCCTTATCCATTCATCTGTTATGGGTGTAAGGTTGCTTCTAAGATTTAGCTGTTACGAGTTGTGCAGCTACAAACATGAGTATTCATGTATCACTGTACTGTGATGATTTTAACTATTTGGAAAAGATATCTAAAAGGGGAATAGTTGGGTCAAATGAAATGTTTATTTTTGGTTTTTTGAGGAATCTCCATAGTGATTTCCATAGTGATTATACTACTTTATGTTCCCATAAACAGTGTAGAAGGGTTCACTTCTCCCAGTAGTCACAGGGATTTGTTTCTTTATGAGAGCGATTCTTGCTGGAGTAAGATGGAATCTCAATGTTTTAATTTGCATTTGTCTAATGACCAGATATATTAAACACTTTCTTATGTATTTACTGGCCATTTATACTTCTTTTGGGAAGTCTTTGTTGACTTCAGGTGCCCATTTTTGGATTGGGTCTTTTATTTTGGGATCAAATTTTTGAGTTCTTTATATATTCTAGACAGTAATCCTCTGTCTGAGGTATAGCTGCCAAAATTTTTTTTCCCATTCTGTAAGTTGTCTCTTTACTCTGTTGGTTGTTTCCTTTGATGTGCAGAAGTTGTTAAATTTGATATAATTACATCTGTTGATTCTTGATGTTATTTTTTGTGCTGTTGGGGTTCTACATAGAAAATCCCTGCCTATGCCTTTGTCTTCAAGTGTTTTACCTATTTTATCTTCTAGCAGGTGAA